ATCCTGTCCTTGCAAATTTTCTGTTTTAAAACTAAACTCCCTCACCACTGATGTTTGTATAAGCTTTGCATAACTTGACACAGCTAATAGAAGCTAACTGATGAGGTGCCAGGACATGCTTCAGTTACATGCCTGGTCATGTGCCTCACAGCACAATTGAGATCTCCCCTGATATCTCATCAATTAGTTCCAATGAACCACAGCTAATTGTCTACAGAAGCCTTGCTTGAAAACCAGTAGGTTTCCAGGAGATGTTTACAAAAACATATTTGCTGTATTTGTTGACACTCAAATTCTGGACAGATTCTGTCATATTAAAAAGAACACAAAAATCCTCATGGTATCTATGTTCTCAAGTAAACCAACTCCAGTGTATCCTGTAAGAATATTTTTTAAAAATCTTTTTTATTTTATAACAACCAATTCAAAAAAAAATGAGACATGACTAAGCAAGATAACCTTAAAAACACAAAAATAACACAATATTACAAAACAATACTCCCCCTTCACCAAGACTATATAGAAATACAACATTTTTTCCTTCATGGCATAGTACTCTTCCCTTTCCAGTAGAATTTGTTTTAAGAATTTGGATACAAGTGAGGAAATTCAAAGTTTTTCTAATAAAGCCAATTGTTTATCTTTCAAACTGGATTTTTATGGTTAGTGTATTTAATAGTTTAATCAGTTTTTTTACAGCATACTCTAGCTACATGTCTGTCCATCCTTCTGTCAATCATAATCTCCCCACAGTGTGTAATAATGGCCACTTCATTGCCATTTTTCTCTTCTACAGTATTTTCATCTTCCTCCATTTGCTAGCATTTTATTTTGCTACTGATTCTGTCTGCTGCAGCAAAATGGCTACCTGTCTTTTTATTCTGTGATATTCTTCTTTTTACAAAGCATCACTATTAATTAAAGAAGCTCTTAATTTAAAAGATGCCTAGTTGACTTTTATTTTTTTACTCATTAATATATAAGGCTACACTCTTTCCCCTCACATATTCCTACCTTGGACCATCTGCTCATTTGGTGCTTTATTATGGGTTTTCACCAAAATGGTGGAACTTAAAAGCGATTAATATCTATTTTACCTATATTGTTTGGGTGTAAAAGAAATACTAATTAGAATTGGAATTTAGAGATAATTCAACAGCAGCTTAACTTCCTTCTCTTACCTGCAGGACTAGAGCAGAACTCATATCTTATATTTACCATCACTGGGATGCAATTAGAGGTTTTTATAATTACTGGAATGGATAGCCAACGTATAACCATTTCCATCTTTTTATTCATTCCTTTATAATTTTAAATCGGGAGTGTCCATTAATCTTTGCCAGCTTTCTTTTTTCCCATGGCAGGTTCAGTTGTGCTGTGTAGTGAAGATCTGGTATGGATTGTAGAAGTGGACCTGCATAGCACAGGGCCTTTGTTAGAGTCCAATCCTGAATCTATTAAAGTCAATCTCTCAATCTCTCTCTCTCAACTTGCAACAGTTAATAAGCAACAAGCTATCAATTACTTATGCTAATCAGTGAAACAGTGAAGAGGGTAACAAGTAGGTTTTTTCATTTGCAAAATGTTAATAAGTAAATGACATTACTATTTGTCATTTGTTTACTTTGAAAATCTCAATGTCATTCTAAGAACTATTATTACATCAATGACTATTTTATCATGAACTAGTAGAGTTTTATGCTGGGAGTGACAGAACATTCTATTACAGTATTTAGGCAGGGCTGGTTTTCAGAGGGGAACAGATATACAGCTTTGGTAATTACACAAATTGTGTACATCACATTTTTTCCAGTAAAAAATACTTATTTTTTTCTCTCTCTTGAAGATGACATAGCATTTTCTGGTTACAGTCACTTGTGTTACTTTCAAAGAAGTAAAATAACTAAGAATGATGAAAAAACTTTTAAGGCTATCTGATTTATTATAGATTTATTGTAAGGAAGTATTTGTCAATATCCAAACTTCAAGGCAATGAATAAGCAGAAAGAAATTTTAAAAAATTATTTCCATTTATAAATCTTAAAATCTGAATGTACACTGTTAAAATCAGAATACTGTAGTTCAAAGTTATTTTATAAATATATATTTGGTGTGAGATTCCATTCACAAGTGATATTTAGTTTTATCCAAGATGGAAGATTTTAGTTACAGCATAATCCTGTGAACATCTACTCAGAAGGTAGCTCCTCTGAGTTCAGTGGGATTACAACCAGATCAGTACAGATAGCATTGTAGCCTTAGCTGAGTAAACTTAACTCATTCTTATTATAACATAATGAAAAAAGTATGGTCGAAACCGTTGGGACCGAATAAAGCTTTCTTTAATGTAATTCTTATTAGTTTTGTTATTCAGACATAAGCCTCACTACTTCTGAGTATGTTTGCTTAGGATTGCAATCAAATCTCTTTTGAATAATATTAGCAACTTAAAAATGTATAATAAATTTACTGGCAAGATGCCATTTTCCCTTTTTTTATTGGTAACTGCAAAAATGGAAATTACAGCTGGCATAAATATAGTATACTGTGATATTGTCATTAGCCTTCATGCAAAAAATATTAATCACATTTTCAAATCTCTAATGAATCCGTTGTTTCGTAAAGGACGTTCTGAAGGGATTTGTAATGGGCATGGAAAGAGGTTGTGAAGGGATTTCCATAATTTGTGTTGTGTTAATGACTTAAAGCAGCTTTATTATTTGTTGATCTTTCCTCATAGCAGACTCTTAGCTGATTAAAAAAAATCCATGCAGAGTGAAATCAGTAGTATGACCAGTTTTATCAGACAAAACTCCCATGTGATCACATAGGCAGCGTCAGAGAGACTGAAGCTGCTAAGCAAGCAGTAGGTAATGACTCTTTGTGCAGAGTGTAGCTCTTGTCGCTGAACAATAAAGCATATGGTACCGGCAATAAAACATAGGGCTGGGAAATTTAAGAAGATTCTGTGGGAGCCAGGAAGGCAGATAATGCGTCACAGAATTACAAAGTGACAACCAGTGTGGGTGCATAATTACTAGGACAACGCATGGCTTGGAAAAAACAACGCTTTGAACAGGTTAGATTTTGTTTGTTTCAAATTATTTAAGGATGTAAATGTTTTGAATGTGACTCTGTGCTTTGGCTGTAGCATTCAGGACGGCTAACATTTGTTGTTACTGCTGAATACAGTAAGGTGTGGCTTGCTTGATGCACATGAGCTGAATGATTAGCTAAAAAGAGTGTGTAATCTGTGAATGTACAGGGTGTTTTGGGGGGGAGGGATTTTTTTTTTTTTGGTGGGGGACTTAAATCTCTGCAACCAGGCTTGTTATAGAGCCATGGGTAATGGAACATCCATTCATTATAATCAGTCCTATGACTGATCAGAGCCAGTTCTGAAATGCAGTCTTATTTTAATATAATAACAACAACCTATTATGCTGATGACTTGTCAAGCTCATTATTTCGGGAGAGTACCATGTGGTTTCAATTATAGCAATTTTCTTTTATGTTTTTAAATGATAAATGGTATACATTGGAATGGTAATTAGTATGCATATGATTATAATTATTTTTAGCACTGTCTTTTGTGATATATTTTGGGGGCAGTGAAGCAAAGAGAGATGTATATGTACACACACACACTCACAAACACACACAATTAGATTGCATTCAACACATCCCACCAACCCTTAAAAATAACACATCTGATATTCTCTCCTTTGTATTTTTCTTCTCTTTATTGTTTCTTCTTTTTGTTCCTTTTTCTGAAAGAAAGGTCTCAAGCGTTTTCATTGCCAATCTATAAGAAGGAACATTTTAGCTACTTTTTCATATTTAATTTTGGGAAATTTGCTTTGTAACAGGATTATAGTCAGCTGCTCAGCCTTTTGGAAAGTTATGCAATACATATGCTTCCCCATCTTGAAATAAATGGAGCAGTTAATCTTTAATATGCATTACAGCAACAAGGAAGCAGTGTACTGTATTTGAACACTGCTGATGTATCCTGCAGGAAGCAAAATGGGTGAAAGCAGGAAATAAAGCAACCATAAATCACTTTTCCTAACAAATAAAATGAAAACGTTCACTTCCTGACTTAATATCTTCCCTCCCCTTCCTCTTTGCTCTTTTGATCCTACACAGAATGCAGGCTCAGATTCTAAGAACTGAATGTTGTTATTTTGGTAGTGGTTGTTAAATGGTTGCACTGATGTGAAAACAAGACTACCACTTCCTCCATTTCTCTCCTTTTTGGTATCATTTGACTGTCACGCAACACACACACACACACACATACCGCCATCCTTCTGCCATGGCTAGCTGTTGGCAACAAAAGTCTGGACAAGGGAAAGGCAATTCCAACAAATATCTCTCACTATTACGATGGTCAGAATCACTATTATTTTAAAACATCCGGCAGGCTGCATTTTGAGGCCTGATCCACAAATCCCTTTCCTCCCTGGCTTTAAATACCATATTTGAGTATTGTGGTCACCTTGGAAACCAGGCGCTGTAGCCTGGCGGTGGGTTCTCCCGCAGAACGGGCAAGTAAAGCTCCAGCCAAATTTAAAAAATAAAATAAAATTGGCCCCTTGTTAGTTGTCATTTTTGTGACACACCCAGTCACACGAGCGCTTCGTGCAAACATGAGAGAGGTGCATCACCAGAGAAAGAGAGAGATTCAGAAATCCAGTGCCCCTAAAGGCTCTCTCCTCCTCAGGGAGGAAAGGGATTTGTGACTCACTCTCTCTCTCTCTCTCTCTCTGTGTGTGTGTGTGTGTGGATTTGTGACTCACTCTGTTTGTGTGTGTGTGTGTGTGTGTGTGTGATTCAGGTATCTTGCCTCAGAAACCTGTATGCAGTCCCCCCCCTTCCCTTCTCTGGCCAGCAGCCGCCTTCTCCCTGGAGCGGCTGGCAAGGCCTCTGCCAGCCTGATTTATGCCAAGCAGACCAGCAGAGAAGCGCTGACTGCAGAGGCGGGCAGGCAGGCAGGGCGGGCTGAGGCGGGGAGCTAGCTACCCAGCCAGCCGCGGTGTTTTTGTGTGTGTGTGTTGGTGTGAGTGTGTGTTGCGGGGGGGGAGGAGAGAGAAGGGAGTTCAGAGGTCAGAGAGCTGGTGGAATGCTGTAACGGCCGACGGTGTGTGCGAGAGGACTACAGAGGCGGCTGCAAGGAGCTTTCTTGCAGGCACACCATGAGGCGGGCGAGTTTATCTGCTGCATCTTGCAAAGCCCCTCCGGCGTCTGGAGAGCGCAGGTAAGGAGTACCGCACGCGATGGCGGGCTTGTGGCGAGTGGTGTGTTGTGGAAGATGCTCTGGGTTCCCTTGGGGAGCTCCATCGCCATCTCTCTCTCTCTCTCTCTCTGTGTTTGTGTGTATTGCTTTGTGCTGGAAATTGGAGGCGCGCTGTTAGCAGGCTGGGGCGAGATGGGTGAGATTTCGGCGTTGTGTCGCTCGACGTCTTTCAGTGGTCACACGCGAGGCCCTGTCAGGATGGGACCGCGGCCGTTGCAAACGTGGGCTTTCATGGAGTTATATGGATCGCATTGCATCTGTGTAGGATTGCATTCCCCCAGGAATTGAAATTTAAAAAAAAGATAAAATTTGAGAATCAGTGTACATGTCCTTGAGGGTGTACAGGTTGTTGTCCACCAACACCGCCCCCCCCCAATTGGATGCGGAGCCCTGGACTACTGAGTTATAAACAAC